CAGTCTCACCCGATAAATAAGTGGCGTAGGCCGCAAACATATAGCCCCCATAGTATGCGCTACCAAAGACGCGTGACGCATGGATGAGTGGAGTGAGGATAGCTGTTTACCGAAACCTCACAGGTTGAGTAATGTAGGAGATCGCCGGACACATGGACGTGTTGAGTGATTAGCTGTAGACTAGTCTATACTGAAACCCCAAGGGTTGAGTGAGGATTGAGATTGCCAGACACATGGATGGGTCGAGTGAGGATAGCAGCATATTAAAACCCCACGGGTTGAGTGATGTTGGAGCGCCGGACACATAGACGCGTTAAGTGAGGATAGACACAAACTGAACCTCACGGGTGATTTGTGATGGAGATTGCGGGACACCTAGACGTGTTGAGTGAGGATAGCTGCATACTGAAACCTCACAGATGGATTGGTTTTTGAGTTTGCCAGACACATAGACGTGTNGGAAGACACATATACTGAAACCTCACAGGATCGGAAAGATCTCCGGGAAAGAATCGGAGAGATAAGAGAGAGAGAGAGCGAGAGAGCGAGAGAGGCAAGCGATGCACACTTGTTATGCTTCACCGCCATAGACATGAAAGGATCGGCTCACCTCACCACGATGTTATCTGGGTCAAGCTGAAGCTTCGTGACGCACTTGGGTATGTAGCGCGGCTGCCAATACGCGCAAAATAGAGATACCGTAAACTACAGAGGAAACCACACCCCGTTGATCACATTTTGGGCTTAATATAAATTATCACCGGGTGTGGTATCCTGTGGGGTGTGTGGTATCTTGTGTAGCCCGGGTGATTCAGTACAGCTCGCGGGGGCGCCCAAGGGGGTGTGATAGCACGTCTGCCCATCCACAGTGTGTTGCGAGTGACGATGAGGGGTGTGATGGAAAGGGGTTTGCTGACAATGTTTGCTTGTAGAATTGAGCCGCTGCTACCGCACACTTGAAGGGGCGTGGTATTGTGGGTGTGTGATAGCATTGCCTGCATGAACCTCGCCACTGCGGCGCACATACGGTGCTCGCATGTGCGGTTGCGAGTGAGTAACCAACTGACTGCTGTTGAGGTGACCTGGTGACCGTCGTGTTGGCGCCTGTTGCTGTTCCATCTGCTGCTGCTGTTGATAACAGCAGCAGGAGGAGCCGTAGCAGCAGCCGCTTGTGTATAAGAATTTTGGCTCGAGTTGAAAGAACGAGGTGATCTGTCGCGCCTGCACTACTGTGGTCGGAGCAGTTGTGGAAGAAGCGGAGGCACTTGCAGCGGTATTCTGCCTTCCCTCCATATTCATGTTCTTGGATGTCTCCATACGGAATGTTTCCCCCGCACACAGAGTGTGTGTGTGTGATGCCCACGGGGCAGATGCTGTTTCACCCCGGTGATAGAAGGGGCCCCGTGAATGTATACGATGTCTTCAATTGGATGTCTTCACCGGGGTGTTATCGGGTGATAATTCGCTGATTCGTAAAACACGCCCAAGAACATCACCGGGGTTCTTTCTCTTCTGTAGTTTCCGGTATGCGACCGGCTGTCACTGACCCGCAAGGACCGCCGCGTGTGAAGAGGAGTGGCAAAGGTTAAACGTGTTCTTCCCTTGTGGGAGTCACTTGTGCGCACGCCACCTTCCGCTGCTGCTCCTGGTCTTCCTATAGTGCACCTCCTTGCTGTTGATCGAAATGTGTAAATTTTTCACAGGGGCTTGGCTGGGATGAAGCAGCTGATTCTCATCGAAATATCAAGTCTATTGAAAGCTCGGGAAGTATTTTGAACCCTCAGCTCTGGACGAAACTCTGGAAATCTCACGCCAACGTCCTGTTGCTTTTGCCAGACGGCTTCAGCTGGGTTCCTCTGCAGGGGACATGTATGGTTGTGTTGAAGGCAAGCGGTGCTGGGCTGGGGTTTATGTGGACATGGCAACAAACGAGATATGGCATCTCGAAACCGGGGGGCGCGTGTATCTCTCTCCTGGCACCGCTGCAGCTGACCCTCTACGCGGGTGCTTGAGGTGGTGGGCGGAGGAAGACCTACTGCACACGGCCGATTGCAATGAGAAGGTTTTCAGTCGGGTGGACGTGGTCAGTAAAATGCGGCGCGATCCAGCACGAGCTGGAACACTTGCTGGGTTTACTGCGGAAGTCAGCTCAACAATCGATGCAGTGCGCGGAGATGGTTCTGCACCCGCCAACTCAGGTGGCATCGGCAAAATACGTCTCGTTCGCGACCCTTTCGGGTTTGTGTTTCCCGGCTGTATGTACGTGCTGTCAATGCAGTCAGGATCATCGAGCAAGATGGCGAACAGCGACGGTGTTTCTGTGGTACTCAATCGGGATGGAACAGTCACAAGTACTGCTGGTGGAGAGCGCGTTGCCAGGTGGCTTTTTCCTCGGAAAAAGTCTCTCGCCGGCACGAACGATGAGTCGTGGGCTTCGGGGAATCAAGTGCTGCTTCGGTTCAACACCGATTTTCTTCAGGTACAGCAAGATTTCATTGAACTATCGCAGTCTCAAGTTGCGAGACTTGACTTGATTTGCCGCTTGTTCTCACCAAGGGGATTTGTACCTGTCGACGACCTGCGTGGAGGGGCTAGACCAGTTATGTACCTGACTGTTGTTGCCTTCGAATGGGGTTCACATCGTTCATGCCGTCAAGGATGTTTTCGTGGTTGGGCCGTTTCTTAGACCGTCGTAAATCGAAATGTTTGTGAAACCATACGCAGCTTGAGAAGGTCTGCCCGCGAGCTAGGAAATGAAAAATTTCCATGTTTTAAATATAGCAGTGGCCAAAATCGGGCTCACCTGGTCCAAACACGGCCATAATCGGGTACCCCTACAAGACGCTGCTGGGAGCGACCGCATGAGACCATCTGATTGGCCGACGCCCACTCCTACCCGACCTTGACCGTCTTTCCACCGGGTGCACCGATCGTGGCTACGCACCCCCCTCCCGGAGGGGTACCCGGTTTTTCTTTCCCCTCCCCCCCCCCTGGTCCAGAGCCTGGTCCGGTGAGAACCCGGCGTGCTCCGTCCCGGCTTTGTAGGGATGCGAGGTCAATGGTCTAACGACTACGGCATGCACGACTACGAGCACCCCCCCCCCCCTACCCGAAAATGGCTGGACTGTTCGGCCAAAACCCGTGCTCACAATCACGGGTCGGACGCACACCACTGGCCCTCGTTTGTCGCCAATGAGAAAGTAGCGGGAGGAAGAGAACATGTTTTTTTTTTTAGTCCTGTGTGTGTCGCATCTCGTGAGCGAAGTATTTATCCAGCTCTCCTTCTCATTTGCACAGACCGCCTGCCGTTTCCCCCAAGGGAGTGTTCCACCGCCGGCGGGGGGTCTGCCTCCGCCCGCCGGGCCGTCAGAACGTCCGAATTCGAGGGCAAGGCGTTGCTGACGTGTACTTGTGTGCATGGGGTTTGGCCTAACAGCCCAGCCATTTTCGGGTAGGGGAAAGAAAAACCGGCTACTCCTCCGGGGGGTGAGTAGCCAAGATCGGGTGCACCCGGTGGAAAGACGGTCAAGGTCGGGTAGGGGGGGGCGTCGGCCAATCAGGTGGTGCCATGCGGTCGCTCCCCGAAGCGTCTTGTAGGGGTACCCGATTGTGGCCGTGTTTGGACCGGGTGTACCCGAATTTGACCACTGCTCTTTTCAGTACAACAGGACCGAGCGCGGCTCATTCTTGGTGGGCCCCAATCGGCACCAAACCTACGGAGACGTGTACTCCAGTGTTCTGATGAAGGACGTGGAGAACCATATTGGGTGTAGGGTTTGTCGTTCTCAGAGAATGATCGGAGTGTTCGATGGGGATTTTACCTTCTGATGATTCTCACAACTCTTATTCTTCGCCACGTTCTTCTGCAGCAAACAGGCAGAAGCACACGCCTTAGAAGTTTCATGTCCGTTGGTGCCCTTGGGTCGAATGGTGCGCGGTGCCTTCTTCTGGTTTAAAGCTTGTTTTGTTGTTCATCTCCGGAAGCGCGGGGAGACCTTCTCCCCGCTACAGGGGGGAGAAGCACAAGTCTTATTCCGTTACCGGACCTAAGACTTCTTACGAGTGAACGTCACGCCGCGCTCCTTAACCTCGTTCGTCCCTTGTATATGGCGTCAGGTCGGACTTCCCGCCACAGCTTGGGAGGTTGGAGGAAGTCGCGACGTAAGACTTTCATCGTCAGATGGCGGGAGGACGTGGCTACCGGTATCAGAGTGCAACAGCCAATTCAAGCTGGAAAAGGACTGTGATGTTGACTCCAGAATTATCCTTTCGCTGGTGGCGCCGTTGACCTTGTCAATGTTTCCTCTCACCGCCGCGGTTTCGCCCTTAGTACGCTACCTGAATGGAGACAATAACTTCAACCAGGAAATGGCGCCGCCGATAGCTACCCTCAGGAACAATTTGCAACCTCTGGTGGAGGTCTTCGAAATTCAGCCAATCCGTCTAGACGGTGACCATGGTGGTGCACCGAAGAATATTGAAGCTATCATCGTAATTTCAAGAGCGGTGCCGCGACCGACGAAAGTGAGTGCTTTTGTGGACGCGTTGTTGTTGACTTTACCGCGTGTGAGGCCATGTGTTGAAACTTCTCGACGCGTCGACATTTTGTCGCAACTGTGCCAATGGTGGCGCCCAACGTGGATGCTGTGTCTATCATGTTGACCCCCCTCTCTCGCTTTACGCTTTAGTCCAGGTGGGTTGGTTTTGAGAATTTTCAACGATCAGTGATTTGGGCAAGAATTAATTAGCCTAAACTGTCCTTGTTTGTCTCTCTTTTGCAGGGAGAAGGCGATCTCTCATGCGTGATCAACGGCGTTCAAACGCGAGCAGTTTGGCTGTCTTGGGGCATGGTGTTGTGCAGGTGCGAGAGGGCGTGTCCTCTGTTCGTATTTTTCCAAGGCTACCTCACAAGAGAGAAAGTTGTTGCGGGCGTTTCCACACCACATCTCCACTGTGTTCGAGTTTGTCTTGGACAATGCGCCTGAAGACTCACGCCACGGCGAGGAGTTCGGTTCGGAAAGACATGCTGACGCACGAAAAGGGTGGAGATGCTTTTCCCGGCGCTAGATCTCGCAACCCCCTTAAGGGCACCACTCGGAGCATCTCGCCGCCACATCCAGTGTTTTTTCACTCTCCGAGCACACGTCTTGCTCCCCTGTTTGTCCTACACAGTACTGCACGTGTCAAGGCAAAAGAGGCAACCGTATACATCACCTTTGAAGACAAGCGTTTCAGCATGGACTTTTCCTTCCTTCATGCACCTGCGCCCCGCCATCTTCGTGTGGGATGGCCAGCTACGGAATCGTTCGGTGCATTGACGCGCGGATTTTCTCAAAAGGCCGTTGGACTTGAACATGCTGCCGAGATTGGTGTGTCAGACGGTTTCGGCGAGGGACCGTTGGAGACGGAGTTGGTCCTGTGCACCATGTTCAAAAACGAGGCGACGTACTTGGAAGAGTGGCTGCAATATCATCAGCTGCTTGGAGTTTCGCGGGTTAGTTTCAAGAGTGAAAACTCCTCGTGTACACGCTTAGCTTTACTTCGCGGCATTGGGATTATCATGCGAATGTTGCACGGCCTACTGAATACTATCATGATGGCCTTGTTTCCGCTGTCAAACCGGTCATGTCGGCTGGAATGCACGTGTTGTGTCGAATCGCACAGGTGTACCTCTACGACAATGGCTCCTCAGACAGGTCAAGGGATCTTCTTAGAAAATTCGAGCGGTCAAAATTTGTCCAGGTTCGCGATTGGCCCTACGATGGAGCGCAAACTGAGGCTTTGAACGACTGTCTATGTCGCTTTCGACATACGGCAAGGTATGTAGCAAGTAGGACCCACACCACGGACGATAGCCCATTGAATGGCCTGTTGACGCGGCGTGTCGCCTATCGGTAGTCGAGAGCACGGCAGCAGGGGTGTGATGTAAGAACATGAAAAGAGCAAACACAGACATACATTGTAGAGTACGCACTTTTCGGCCCTTCCGCGCTCCGCAATGTTTTGTTTTTGCCTTTTTCTGATACTGCGTCTCCCACGCGCGGATTCCAGGCCACTAGACGACTTGAAGTTCACCAGAGTAGTATTGCCGCCCAGGAAACGCACACATCCTCCAGGCGGGCGGAGAAGGGCTGTATTCGCGCGTTTAGCATGCAAACAGTGTGTAGGGCAGTGACCGTAGCATCGTCTGTTGTGTGTGTGTCGCACATTCATCCGGAGAGAAGAGGCCACACAAAAGAAGAAAAATGCTTACATATTTCGCACGAAGAATGTTATGTATTGAAGGCGGGACCGATCGAATGAATCCAGACAGGAGCAGCGCGCGGGATTGTTCATCAAACATTAAAAGATAGATGGATACACGCCAAGGAGGAAATGTGGAATATTGCAAAATGCGCAGCCAAGACCCGAGCAGCAGAATAAAACAGCAGCAGCAGCGCAGCGGCACAACGTGGGAGTCGATGACAGTACAAAAGAGAAAACTAACAAACTGTCGGCGGGTGTTGCTCTGAGTTGAAAAGAGAGCAAATGGGACCGACAGGCAGACCGGTAACCTTTGCACATCAATCGGCAGCATTTCGAGCCACAACGCCGGCGTCTCACCTCGTAGGTTGCTACACTACTTGAATGGCCTGCTCACTTTGCTCAGCGTTTGAGACTTTTCTCGCTGGCGTGTTGTTGTTCCTCCAGCGTGCAGCAAGCGCAACCACGGAGTACAGACGTGCGTTTTCGCAACTGTTTGTCACGGGTACCTGTGGCCAAGTAAGCAAGGTGTTCTTCGCCGTTCTACCCGCTGTTGCGGTGCAGAGAATGTGACAGCTGCTTCAAAGAACATGCAAGACTCTCAAGGCCGAACAGCCGCCAGTAAACAGAAGGGAAAATAACACCCGACCAGTCCTCACTGCTCACGACCAGCCAACACAAAGTATAACTGTTTCTACTATAGCGGGGTAGGGACAATCGGGCGGGCGACTACGATAATGTCCAATAGGTATTGATCGGTACCAAGACACGCCTTTGCTCTTACAAGCTGTTGGCCACATTTTTTCAGGCAGTTCTAGAGGTCTCACAGAACGGAAAAAAATGTGAATGAATGAACGAATATCACGTTCAGTCCGAAGGCCTGAACCGCGCACGTTTTTGAGCCGAACGCCCCGGAAACGAGAAGTCACTCCATCAGCCGTCCTGCACTTCTTGAGAAGCCCTCTGCAAAGTTTTAGCCTGATTGGTGCCTTCTGCGTTGATGGCTGTGTCGGTGACCGGCACTCTCAAGCACGAAACACGAGCATTCAGCAGGTGCTGTAGACACCAAATTGCTCCGATCTCGATCAATTTGTGCCTTAACGTTCCCCATCCTCCACCAGATGGGAGCCCCGTCCAATCTACAGGTGGTTTGACAAGTCCTCCGACGCCTGTGTGCCTACCATATTTGCCTGCCAGCTAGAGGTTCGAGCCACACCGCTGCAACCTCCTGACGAGGAAGTATCTTCCCCGTAAAATGGCGGGTTCAAACTTTTTTACGCGCGCGCACAAAAAATTTTGCGGAACAAATTCATGACTACCAATCCATTGTGTGTATTTTATCCTGATCTCGACACGTGTGCCCCGCGATAGACTTCTCGCCGCGTTTCGAGGGAAACATTATTTGTGTTCTTGTACGTACGCGCGCGCGTAGATAAAGGGATGGAAGCGATTTGTGCAGGCCTGCATGTGTAGTCTATCTCTCTTCCCGAACAATCTTGCACTCTAGAAAGTATGTGCGAAGGCATGGCACGCACGCGATCTATCAGTCCAAGACATGCGGGTTGTCACAGCTGTTGTTCTCCTATTTGTAACCTCTTCTTCCACCGAATTGCGCACGCGCAAGTACGAGCTGAACATGTTCCACCGCATCTTGCACCCACACCAACAACGTGACAACTTGATAATTGATGATCCTCTCTTTACTTCGTGGGAACACATCCATCCATGCATCCATTGTACGATAACTCTGATGTCCACCAATGTGCGCATGCGTAAGTTGCCTCCCTCCTCGCGATTGCCCTGCCAAGGAAAGGGTCGCGGAAGCTTTTCGCCGCAACTAGACGCTTTGAAATTATTATACGCGCACCCAAAGTGTAGTGGGTTTCGTTCTCGTCGAACGACATGTGTGCCCCGCGATGGACTATTCGCCGCTTTTCGAGGTATCATTATTTGTTCTTGTTCATACGCGCGCGCATAGAGGGATGGAAGCAAGCAGCGATTTGTGCAGGCGTGCTTGTGTATCTATCTTCCCGAACAGGCTTGCACTCTGGATACGTGCGTGTGAAGATAGTGTATACACGCGATCCCTCCGTCCAAGGCATGCGGGGATTGTCACAACTGTTTTTCTCCAAAATTCGTGACAACACCCAATTCGCGTAGTTTTGCACGAAGCACAGAAAGTCTTATCCTCGTCTGTTCCCTCAACATCAGACGGATCATTAGGCGTTGTCCATCTATGTACATGGACTACAAGCTGGTTCAATGAAATGGATACTAAAATGTTCAGCATGAAAACCTCACGCCGTTTGTTGGTTGGAGTGAAGATTTTGAAATTTCGCACACATGTGCCTTGGGCTACTGTAGTGCAAAACGGTGTGCGTTCTTTTTTTGCTCCTCCTGTCGCCGGATATCCGGGGTCCTAGAGGTTTCGGGGTCATGTGCGCCCGGGACCCCGAATAATCGGCGACTATGGGAGAATATTTTACAGGCCCCGCCGCACAGCGTTTCGCACACCCCACTGTACATGTGTGCAAAGTTTAAGTTTCAAAATCTAACTCCTAAGAACAGCATGAGGCTTTCAGCTTTTGTGGCATGAAGTGTCTCGCATCCTGATTTTCCCCAAACTTGATACTGTATTAGTAAACATGCAGATCCGCGGGGCCCCTTTTTCACTGCAAGCCCCGTGCTGCGCCAGACTTACAAGTGTTCCTTCAAATTTCCTGGAGCGGAGAGAAAAAACAAGTGGTATTCATTCATGTGTATATTTGGAACCGGCTTTCGGTGGTTCCACACCGGGGACCCTGATACGCCGGTCAGGAGTGCAAACATAGTCTCATTTTCTTCTACGGTTGGTGGACCTTCGTTGCACCATGCTATCAAAATCGGAGGGCTATTCAGTGTTAAATTTGGTATGTTGTTGTTGTTCTTGACTTCACATTAAACCGTATGCCAGTTGCTAAATGCCAAAATCTAGCAAAGACTCTCAGCCCGTGGTCACGAAAGTGCTAGAGCCATCTGAGGATCTAAAGAACACGCACACGTAGCAAGAAAAAGGTATCCAAGAGCCCGAAGAGGTACTACTACACCTATATATAATCCCTGCAGCACCGTACGCGTGCCCAAAACTGAACTACACGTCCGTCTCACCGTTCGACTACAGCAACATCACCCCCTAC